TTGAGAGTGCAAGCAATAAAAAAATTATAGACGAAGGATTTTTCAAAATGTTTGTTTAAATTAAATCTTCCATTGCTGTTAGGGCAATTTTAAAATTTGGTGTGGAGAAATTTTCTGTCCAAGTTATACCCATACGACGCTATCTATTACATATCGAAGTACTAAACGTCTTTAGCTCAGTAGTTTGTTCCTGCAAATTTAGTTTAATAGAACTCGAAAACATTAATTAAAACTACTATTTAAAAATATCGTATCCATATAAACGTTCATTAATATTCCCAATACGTTCCTGTTACATCTCTTAGCAGAATATACAACGTCGGAAACCCCCATATTTTACATATAAGGGCACATTAGGCTATCACTTAACTAAGTTCAGGAGCATAGAGCCAGGGCAATTTCGAGAGCCCGCCGATAAATTGCTTGCCCGTATAGCTAATAAGTGGGAAGATAGTGTGAGTAGTGCTGCCCTTCATCATTTTAGTTATCGATAAATACATGAAATATACCTAGAAGCATTTATACTGAACTAGTTTTCCGTCAACGACTTCAATTGCTTGGTCCTTAGGGAACTGCTTATTTGGATATCATGACACGGATATAATTACCATGACCAATTTAATAGTAAACAATGGTTACTATGGTAACGTTTTAATCCCTAAACTCGCATTTACATTCCTTTATTTGCTGTTTTTTTAAATAAAATGTAGCATATGATAATGAGCTTCCAGTAGGTGAAAGAATTTTTAAAATATGTTCAATGTTTTCGGAGTCTATTCGTTACAAACAAACCAATAAAATCTTTCCTATTTATAATGTTAGTTACTTTAAATACATAATATTATTATTTAGTCATTCGATTATTATCATTAGACGACCAAAATGGCATCAAAGAAATCCGTGATCTTCATCAAAATGATGTAGAATTTATCGTGTAATGTATTCATTGTTGCCAGATTGATAATATCCATAACTAGACATGATTTTTGTCATCAAACCGCAATATTGATCTGATCACTTCTAATGACGGGCTTACGGTTATTTTAATTGTCATTTTTTGTAAAAAATGTCCAACTTTCGCGCCGTCGGTCGTCGCTTATCGCAAAGGGTTTATTATTAATATAATTTTGCTTATGAATATTTAATTCAAAATCGAATCATGACAATTAATTTATCAGGATTCAAATAGATCCTCTAACATTTTCGATAAATACTTCAAATTTATCGATAAAACTAATGGCACAACACTAATTGTAATGTCTACGGGAATTTTACCACCTTGCAATATCGAGGGCCGGCCCTCACGCACTTGTACGTAGGAGGTAATAATTAAATTGTGCTCTCATTAACAGGCCAGTACCCACTTTTGATGATTGGGGACGGTTAAAAATAACATATCTGTCTACACATCGTACTTAAACATAAATATTAATTTTAGTATTGAAACTAATATTAGGTTCAAATGAAAAAAGCAAAAATGAATTATTTTTTGCTATCTATCTGAGATTTTTGAAATAATTTAATTACGTTAATATTATTTAACGGAATTATATCGTTAAAATGGCAGCTTTTTTGATACGGATTTTTGTCACTATAGCGCAGAATCTGTCACTGATTCATTAAGACAGGATTGTACTAATAATATTTGGCAAATAATACAGAATGTGATCATTGAAACCCCATTGAAGTGTCACTATATCGTCAACATTGGCAGAATTGGCTTATTTGTGGGGCAAATCCGTTAGAGATAGAGTGGGAACGCTTTCTATCCTTGTCTTATCGATAGATTATGACGTCATTATGTGGGTATATTAATATTCTTATCCATTTAAGAATCTACTTTTCACTAACCTGCAAACTTTACTGTTCTTACCACTTTCATGTTAAAATAAATAAGCGAAGATGTTATAAATTCGATTAAGCTGTCCGATTTGAATATCTAGCTCAGAAGAAATTAAATCTCTGTGAACCAGAAGCTTCATAGACTTATGGAGATTACAAGACTGAAGCAGCTATTATGATTCTGGTAGCGAAACACAACTCCCAAAACTTATAATATTTATATGATGGTTTCCGTATTCATAAATTTGTTTGGTATTAGGAAAGATTGCGGTTTACTTCAGGATGTTTAACAATGAAATACTTTAATTTGGTGAATTAAAAGTTTTAGGCCTTGAGGCGAGAACCATTAGTAATAGTTAACCTGTTACTACTTTAGTAAAACAGTTTAACCCAACGAAACTTGAGAACTCAACAGACGTTATTAACCCGCGCGCCACCTCCAATACTTAAACATACCCCATAAATTTATCCCAAGTCCGAAACACACGTTACATGCCCAATATACTGGCAATTAATATTGAAAATTGTCTACCGGTTGAGCCCCTACTATGAGCGATAGGGACTTCGTATTTTATTTATTGTATTGATATAACCTAAACGCTGCTATAAGTTTTCTTAAAAAAAAAAGAATAATTATGTAGGCATAATATCTTCGGAACATTTTAAGGCTTAATATCTCTAATTTTTTAGAAGCTTTTATTTAACTTGTTGAAGACTTGTCTTATTAAAGCTTAAAATAACTTGCTCGCTCGAATAGCTTTTTATTTTAATTACAGTTCTAACCTAACCTAACTGATTGGCCGATGCTCTCAAATCGAGTAACATTTATGCGACTTAAAATTATACAAAAAATACTCTAATAAATAATTAAACCGAAGAATTTATAATAGTCCAAATATGCAAACTTATAATAGGAATGAAAAAAATAAAAGACGGGATCTTTTTCCGAAATACGGAACTCGATATAATGAATTTTCGGCCGCAAATCCTATGACAGACCTCCTTGGAATTTGTATAAAAAATATAAAAGAGGCACAGGCTACTAGACTATAATTTCCAAAACTACGCTCATTTAGTGAATACCCCTTATTCTATAAACGACCAGGGGAGAGCTTTTGTGTTCAGCAAAAAGCTCTCATTTAGACTACTCGTCTCGCTGTAAAGAATAAATTGTGAGCGATAATTTTCGCCTACTCTTTTTTTTTATCTCCATTAAGTTAAATAATTACCGAAAATTATTTTTGGCGTTGCTTTCTACGTCATGAAAAGGGTTATAAATATTACGTTTAGATGTTTCTGTTGAAAATTTACAAAAAAAAAATCAGAAATGTTACATTCCAAGCAATAAACTTACAAGCACTTTTAACAGTAATGATAAACTAAATTTGAATATATTTTATACAACACACTTAAATATAATATTATATTGGCTTTAAATGTAATATAAATGTTCATATGTGGAAATGCTGCTTTGTAGTTTTGTTTTATCTTGATTATACGCTTTTATTTATTCTGTTATAAAAGCAGGTTATATATTAATATAATATCGGTCGGAAAATTTCTGCCTCGGCCCAAAAAAGAAGCTTTTTTTGCTTTACTTTCTTTTCACCCGCATATCTAAAATAATTAAACAAAAATAATCGATTCTAAGACTTAACACCAAATTGAACTGATCTCGTTACCTACAATAGACAGTGGAAAGAACCATATGTGTACGAGTATCTGGCTTATGAGCAAATGTCAAAGCGTTGGTTCACATATTGAAATTGACACTTGCCCAATTGTAGTAACCGTGAAAAGGTTATTTGGTCACCTGTCACCTACGTCCTTATTTATCGCACGAAGCACTCCCGGGTATATGTTTCACCTTATAAACAAAATCGAGGAGGTGTTATTTAATACCCAATTCGATGGCCACGAAATTAACCGTTCACCAAAACCCACTTTTTCCGTTTAATTTCGCGACGGAATAAATTTTCATTAGGAGCTGGGCTGATACTGCGTAATTAATGGCTATAATTACAGGGTCCCCGGCTAAGATAAGAAGAAAAACTCCGCTTATGTACACGGGATTACTGAGCTTCATACTGGAATGCCTTCTAAAAGGGTACTTAATTATTTACGGTGCATGATATATTTTCTTGTAGTTATTCTCATAGTTTATGGTCCAGTAGCTAGCAAAACTTAGCTAGAACAAAATATATTGTTTTTGATATTTTATTAATACTTATTATACAATATTTGCGAAAATCTTATAAACTAGAGCAGTTTAAAAAAAAGCTGACTAAGAATTCTAATTATATTAAATGATAATTTAGGATTTGTTCTTGAAGATTCCCGTGCATAATTTTCCTCGGGGTCTCAACACAAACCACTTTAATATAGTAATGTTCCCGCAGAGGTATTTCCACCAATTTTAATATAATAATTTTAACATCGTCATAACTCAGTATTAAGCGTGGCCATTATTTTTTCCCCCTCCCACTTCTATTATAATTGTATGTAAATTCTTCGCTGTGGACGCACGTTTATCTTCACGAGAGTGAAATTAATCGTTGGAAATACAATTGCGCTGTTAGGTTTTTTGGGCTATTGGTGATTCAGTATTTTGAAGATCAGTCATATGTATCTACTTTCGCATTTTTCGTCGACCCCTTTCTAAGCATCAGTTCTTAGAGCTTATAAAATTAGTAAGAGTTCTTCAACTTTACCATTTAGTGTGGATGTGCCAAACATCGTGTTTACTTATGTGCAAGTTTCAATTAATCTTGTATATTTCTATGCAGGTGCTGTTACGTCTATTTATTGTTCAATACATTAAAGCTTGAATTTGAGTTAAATTAACTTGAATAACAGACGAAACATCAAGGACTTGATTTGAAATTTTATCGATCTATCAGCAATACATTGCTATCCTGCAGGAGTGGTTTACCATTAAAAAAAAATGTTATACCCCATAAGATTTCACTAAAGTTGTTCGACATAAATTTTCTATTGCAGAGGTGTTTTTCTCCCTTGCAATTTGATTGCAAAATTTTGATACCTTTAGAAAACCAGAAAGAACATTATCTTTTACGCGATTGTGAAGATTCAATAAGTTTCAATACATAAATTTCAATATATATATATTATATTTAGTATCATAAACAAGTACATACCTTTGACGTCAAGTGAGAGCCGCTTGACAATAGGCTCATCTAACGCCGCTGAGGTGACAACACATTTCAACTCGCCACCAAGCTCCGCCCGTGTCACTGTCAGAGGTAGAACGCGTTGTACTGCTGTCGTATTAGTCTTTTCTTGAGCTGTAACAAGAGATATTTCAAAATCATCTTAAAATATAATTTATGTCTGTCGTTACTACGCAACTACGGTTTCTAAAATGAATTTTAATAATCTTCCTATAACCATACACATAGTAATTCTACAACCAGATACATAGTAATTCTTATGTTCCTCTGCAATTAATAGTATCATTATCTTTACTCATTATATGAAACTTCGTAAGCATCTTTTCCTTCATGTCCATTTTTAAGATGATTGTAAGACTTCAATTTCATTCAAAATATTTGTAGGTTAGTTGTGATATTTTACAAAACATAGTGAAAAGATTCTCCTGTAATTGGCAGATAACTATTACATATTATTAAAGTTGAACTAGTATTATCTAGGCTAAGTTAAATAAGATAATTGAGCAATTAAGTTATTGAAGTATTATATTTTAAGGCTACAGTATTTTTCTATTATTATTTCAGGCTTATAACAACGTCGTAATTCTTCACACTCACAAACTTTTCCTACCGTTGAACTATATCCGTATCACATTATTTTCTAGTGGCCTTCAATAAACTCCAATGAAAATGGCTGTTAAAAATTTTTGTTTCAATAAACAAAGCTATCTGTGCATCACTGAAGGTTGCAATACAATATTGTTTTAAACCAACACTCGATTTTAAATTGTAAAAGAGCCATGCTATCGGCAGAGGCAGACGTATCAATCTTTGCGAGCACGCCCCATCCGAACGATGGTACCGGATAGTTTTTCACAATGGAAACTAGGTTTTATATTTTTTTGCCCATCCGCTACTATATTTATGTATTTGGACAAGAATGGTTTCCAGAGAGACTTTATTGAAACATGGTTTTTTCATGTGTGATGCAAGGGAAGAAGGGAAAAGGATAAGCACCGCGGCCCGCGATCGTTGTCGTTAAGCAACTTTTGCAAAGGTTGGTCACGGGATGGGTGGCCAAAAAATTATTATCTCGAGCTACTCCATGCTTCGGAAGGCACGTTAAGCTTATGGTCTCGGCTACATTTGCAGTTGTTAATACCCTCCAATCCGCATTGGACCAGCGTGGAGAGTCATGGCCCATTCTCCTTAACCATTCATAAGGAAGGCCTGAGCCCCTGCAGTGGGGACTTAAAAAGGCTGATGATGATGATTGCTTAGTATTTTATTTTACCTATCGATAAGAAAAATCTTTCCAAATATTATTTCATGTCATAGTTACCTTTAAGTATATCTTTTAATTAAAGTTAGTGCCATTTCGGTGGAACTATATAAATGTATATAATAAAAACTATCTCTGACAATTTATATATAACTAATGTAGCTTTTGATAAACTAAGAGTTAAAATGAAACGATTCAGCAGAACTAGATTGTAAACTAGAGTTAGATAACGATCTGTAAACTGAAAACGAGTGAAGTGAAAATACGCTGATTCGGCTTGTTACCAAAAACGCTAACGTACTAAGTCTGGACTGAGATATTGTACTGTTACCATTTGAAAAATAGATTTCACATTAGCTCGCTGATTCAACATATTATTTTAGCTATTTAGTTCAAATATTTTAACAACAAGCCGTAATATTAGCAACTCTTTATAAACTTATCAATCAAAACGTAAATTACCAGACTACATTTTTTAAAACGTTTCCAAAACGTTGATTGTCATCTAATTTTTGACGACAATTCGAATTGTAGTAATGTTATTATATTTAATTAATTTCTCATTCACAAAATTAATCAAATATAATATTTTGAACAAATTTACATCTTTATCGAAAGTTTCAATATTTGTAATAATATTTCTTTCGGCTGTTTGGGTGGATGCCTGAACATTGACGAGAATGCGCTCTGTAGTAGCGAAAAGTAACAAGTGCTTGAAAGATCCGTCAGTCTTGTAAGATCCTGGGTAGCTCAGTGGTTAGAACAGTCGCCAGGATAGCGAAAGGGCGTGGGTTCGAATCCCAGGGTGCCAGGGACCAAGTGGATTTTGTAAGCATTTTGTATTCAGAATAATTTGTAATGTTAGTCAAATTTGTAATAATATTTTAAATCTACGTTTTAAGTTAGGTAGCGTTATAAAAGTAGTTTCCTGCTAATGATATACGATAAATTTCAAAATAAACGGTACGTTTAAATACACGTATTACATGAAAAGAGAAAATGTAACAAATGTAGAAATCAGAATACATGGTGTCATGTCATGTTTGTGTGGATTTAATCTTTGCATCTAATTACTGTTTTTCGTGTGTATTATCGTTAAATTTAAACGACACATTATGCTTAGCTGTTCTGAAGTGTTTTTTATACTAGATAATTTATACGCTAAGGGTAGAGTCCGTTTGAAAGTAAATATATTTTTTCGAACTATTAAGACAATAACTATAAGTGTTATACACATAAACCTTTTTTTATTTATCATTCAGTTCAGTGAATGGCAAATTAAAATTAATTTATATTTGATCAAGTTTCCACTCACAATGCTATATATATATATATATATATATATATATATATATATATATATATATATACATATATATATATATATATACATACGCATCGCCAAGTTATATGGTAATTTTCAATAACCAAAACAAGGAATTTCCATCTGCCACCATTCAGACAGGTCTCGTATTTTTAAAATAGTCTTCATAGATTGACCAGATCCAGATTCTGTTCTCATCTTTAAATATAATATAATAAGAAACTGATATGCGAGCTATTTGATAACAGCCTTGTTGCATAAAAGAAATTTATTTTAGCAAACAACAAATTCAATTCGCTTAATATAATTTGATCCTACCCTAGGCTCAATTATATCTATAAATTAACTCGCTATTCATCTACCATATTTGAGTTACTTATATTTAAGTATGGACAAATATCTATTCGAATCTAAAATTCATGTTTCAGGACAAATTTCGGAGTCAATATTTCCGTCTCAGGTGTAGTATGTTAGGGACAGTGTTGGGTAACAAGTCCGACCTTATAATGTTGAAGGGTTCATTTCTCGTTTGTAACGCGTAAGGTGCTTTATCAATGTCCGCAGCGAGACAGCAATATACTTACTTCTATGAAAGCTTGATGTGTATCGCAGGGTAGTATATTGGGCCCACCACTATTTAATATAAGAATAATAAAATCATATTTGGCATAATAATATAAATAACACTATTTTACTATGTGAAAACCGCAGAAAACTTTATCTTATTTAAAAAAAAATTAAGTGAAATTTTTATTTGTCAATGAAGTACGGGCTCTGATAGATACATCATTACAATAAAAATTAACATAATGCATATAAAATTATAAAACAAAGTTATAGCTATACTGATAGTGGGTGTACTATGCGTAAAATTACAATATGCTTGTTGCCATCTGGTTAAAGCTTTCATCTGGTTGGCGGAAGTTATTTAGTTCAATTAAAATGTGGTAGTGGCAAATTTAAATCATTTTAAATTAATTCTGAAAATTAGTAAATTGTGTGTACTCTTTTATTTTAATGTCATTTAACTTAACAGCGTTAATTTCATCAGAAAGACGTCTTGACGAATTGAAATCTAAATTATCTAATAGAAATCTAAAGCTCATAATATCGACATTGATATTTTGATAATAACAATTTATTAAAACATCATTTTATTAACGGAGCATAATAATATAAATAACAAATTTTAATGAAACTGCAAATTCTGAGCATATTATACGTTATTATTTTGTAAATCCAGTCCGGTCGTAAACAACAGTTGTTAATTATAATTAAAATACAATTATTCGGTTAAGTATGTTCGACTTACGAACGGTTGGCCCGAATCAAATTTTCATAATGAAACCAAAAGCGGAAGCTTTTCTAGTAGTTAGATAGATAGATAATTCATTTATTCAATAAGCAACACATATTGAATAAACAAATACATTATACAGAGAATAAAAATAAAACACAATTAATAAAAGAAAATAAAACAGAAGAAGCCTTAAAATAGTGATAATAATTTCTTAGAAAATGTCAGTGATAAACAACATTTCTTTTGATTTATGAACATTGATGCATGCGTCCGGCTGGAAATCAAATTTTGATATTTATTTTATTTCTTTAACAGTTTTACATTCAAGACTCATACTCCAAATTAAGATCTTGCATATTCTTATTGAAAATGCTTATAAAACCCACCAGATCCAGGTACTCTAATATGGGAATCGAACCCACAACCTTTCGCAATCCGGGCGACTGCTCTAACTACTGAGCTGGAGGACTGTTGAATTTTTCAAGCGCCTGTACTATTTCGCTACTAGAGAGCATATTTTTAATATTCAGGCAATCCACTCAAACAGTCGAGAGAAATTGCGAAAGGTAGTTGGTTCAAGTCCCATCTCAGAGTGTCTGGAGCTGTTTGATTTTTTAAGCATTTTTCATTAAATATTTTTTCTAGTATAGCATTGTCAATGCAAAATTGATTTAATATAATAAGCTCTTGCATTATGGAAATCTGAAATAAGAAAGGTATCACAAAATTTATATTATAAGACCGCGATTTGAGATTCGCGATTTGAGAAGGAGAGTAACTCGATGGTGTAGTGGATAAGCGCCGTGGTTCGCGATCGTTGTTGTTAAGCAACTTTCGCAAGGGTCGGTCACGGGATGGGTGACCAAAAAATTATTATCTCGAGCTACTTCGTGCTTCGGAAGGCACGTGCAGCTGTTGGTCCCGGCTGCATTTGCAGTCGTTAATACCCTCCAATCCGCAATGGGCCAGCGTGGAGGTTCATCGCCCCAGTGGGGACGTAAAAGGGCTGATGATGATGATGATGATTATTTGAGATTCCAATACTTTCCTAACAGCTAAGTAATTATTGGTAATAATTGGAAAACTGAGATTGTTTATATATATATATATTTTAAAGATTGTGATTCCACTGACAAGCATGATGAAATCATCAATACATATCACCCAAACCGATACTCACAACATTATTCGTGTATTTATAAACTTTGTTTTATATTATTGTGTATACA